GTTGCAAAAGGCTTCGAGGCAGCTTCTACACAAAGCATTCCCATAACTTGAGAGGAAAAGACTCATTTCTCTGACGGTCGCTTTTGGCAGTGGGGGATGTCCGGCTTTGGGCCTTACAAGATCATTTAGTCCAGCCCTGCCAAGGCCACGGGGGCAGGACTCGAAATTCAATAAATCTACAAGTTGTTTTTTCTCTCTTTTTCTGTTTTTTCCAAAGTGAAATTCAATAAATCTTGGCCCCAGCAATGTTGCTTTAAATACACAAATAGCCCTTGGCAGGAAAAAGTTCCCCAGCCCTGCGAGCAACAGAACTGTGAGGCGATGATGCTGTACCCCTACTTTATCGATGGGGGAATGGTTGCTCTAAGAAGGAAGGGGGAGGGGAGGAGACCTCCATAGGGCTGATACCCAAGCACTTGTCCATTCCCCTAGTTCTGTGACCTTCAACACCTCCCTGCTTACTGGAATGCTTAAGGATGAGTGACAACATTTGTCCCCGGGAAGGAGCAGCTGGGCTGGCCCACAGGTGGAGGTGTGGTCCGTGGTCTCCACTAGGGTATGAACTATAGGCACCTCTCAGCAACAGGAAATGCAAAGCCCAGGCTCTTGAAGTGGGACAGGTTTCAAACACATAGGAAAGAGGAGCCATCAAGGACTGGGTGGGCAGGAAAAGGATCACTTGTGCTGTGTGGCACTGTGTGACGCTGTGTGTGTATGTGTGCGTGTGCGAGTGTGTAGACAGGGCAGTGTGCAGGTGTGTGTCCACATGTGTGTGCATGAATGTGTGAAGGGGCCTGTGCACGAGCGGGGGGCTGCAGGAATGTGTGCACATGTGTAAATGTGCCCATGTAGCTCAGAGAAGATCTTGTATTTAGAATTGGATACAGGATCCCAAGCTTTGTGGTCAACCGTTCGTCCCCTGGGCCTCAGTTTCCTTGTCTGGTTGTGAGGTTGAATGGGCTGAAAGAAGTGAATCTAGTTGCGCGGGATGTAGGTGGATGCTAAGCTGAGTTCCTGTCGCCGTGTGGTCCTGACGCGTGGTATTGAGTTTGGGGAGCTGGGGCTACCGGCCAGCGTCTGGTAGCAGCGGGTCATGGCAGGACCCTCAAGCTCAGGGCTCTCTACTACTGAGGGACCCCAGGCATGCTCCTTAACTGCTTGGTGCCTCAGTTTCCCCATTTGTAACATGCAACCAGTGATGGCCCCTACTCCCTAGGGTTCTGGTGAGACACTGGTTTTCAAAGTGGAGTTCAAGGGATCACCAATATCACCTGATTACTTGTGAGAAAAGCACGCACTTGGACCCCACCTAGAGATCAGAAACTCCAGGGAGAGTTTCTCTCCAGGACAGCCTGTGGCCCTCAGAGGTCTGGAACCAGCTCCGCCCTGGATATTGCTGGCTAGGACAGGAAAGCCCTGGAGGATGGGCCTGCCGCACTGCATTGTGGGCCCGACAGCCTTTGTACCCGGCCTTGGTGGCTGCGCTAAGGCTCTTGGACAGCCTCCACCCCTGCCTAACTTCTCACACCAGCTCGGCCCCAGAATTTCTGGGCGGAGGCCGTGAATCAATCGATCACATCTCTAAAAGTCCGTCAGCTTCCTGGAAGTACTTGCCCAAAGATGAGAATGTGCAGCACTATTATTAGAATGCGGCCTTCCTTCCCGCTCCCTCCATTCTGGAATCTTAAAGAACCTGGGCAAGTGTGGCTCCCCTTAGAGGGACAAACTGCTGAGCGAGGTGCCGAGCCTGGCTCTGAGCTTCCCTGAGACCCCACAGGCAAGAGCTCCCCACCTTGGCTGGAGGAGGGGAGGGACCACCCCTCCTCCTCCCTGAACCTGGGGAGGGAGCAAGAAAGGTCTTCATCTACTTCATTCATTCATTCACGGATCCACAAAACCAACTTTCCACTGTTTTTCCCCTGAACCCCAAGCCCGATTCAAGATGCTGGGGTGAGAACCGGGGAGCAGGCAAGTCTCTGCTCTGTGGCACTGGCACAGGTTGGGAGAGACACTCAAGCAGTAAATCAGCTAAACTCACTAGATTTTAAGCAGAAGAACAAAGCAGTACCAGGCAGAAGTGCTGAGCCCTCAGACCTGAACTCACATCCTGACCTTCTCTCTTCCTACCCACAGGGGTTTAAGGCAAACCCTCAGGTTCGCTGAGCCTCGGCATCCCGACCCATAACCCCAGATTGTAACAACACTCGTTGGTGCCTGGCACCAATTCAGGCCTCCACGAGCTTGGCCATCTCTCCTGTCATTCAAGGTCATACAGCTGGACCGCGTCAGATTCCCGGGCCTCGGTGATCCACTGGAGTGCCTGTGGAACCCCCAAATTAGGAAGAGACCCCAGAGATTGGCTGGCGATCTGATCTTGGTTTTAAACACAAGGCGCTTTGCCTTGGGCAGAGGCCCCCTGGCTTCAGAGAGTGTGCTCTGGTAAGTGGGGCTCTGGGGCTCTGGGAACTGAATTTCTCGAATCTCCCCCACCCTTTTTACATCACCGCACCGCCTGGCCCTGTTTGGGAAATGGGCATGGAGACATGAGGAAGGGTGTCTGCCTGTCTTCCCTCTGAAAGCACGGGCCGTGGGGCCCGCTGCCTGACGAGGGCAGCTATAACCATTGCCCATTCCTTTGCCCCTGCCTTCGGTGTTGAATCCTGGCTCTCCTGCTTGCCAGCCACATGACCTTGAACCTCAGAGCTGTCCTTGATACTACCACCCCCACAGACTCTGCCATCCTGAAGCATTATCTACCTCCCTCCCCACTCCTTTCTTTTGGTGCTGGTACTGGAGCGTGAACTCAGGGCCTCAAGTTCTTGCTTGGCTTTTTCATTCAACCTGGAGCTCTACCACTTGAGTCACACATACCTCCACGGCTGGCTTTCTAAATAGTGAATTGGAGATAGGAGTCTCATGCACTTTCCTGTCCAGGTTGGCTTTGAACCGTGATCCTCCGATCTTAGCCTCCTGAGTAGCTAGGGTAACAGGTAGCGCCACCATCGCCCGACTGTCATCTACCTTTATAGAGCCTCTGCCAGACGCGCATCACATGCCCAAATAGTTCTCTCACTCCTGGCAAGCCAACCGTCTTCTGCCCCTTTCTAAACACACTGACTGTTGCTGCCATCCTGCCTTAGCAGATGCCAATACCTGGCCTAAAGCTGCCTCTGCTGCCCAATCACGGACATTCCAGCCCACATTCTCCAACTGTGTACCCCCAATGTGCACATATGCGTACGTGTAGAGCTGGAAATATGAGATGGAATAAATGACTAGTGCAGCCTCTGTTACTTGAGCACATACTTAACGCTCAGCACTCAGTTCTCCCCTGCTTTTCTGGGCAGATTATGGAGGAGGAAGCCAAGAGAGAGGGTTGGACAGCCACTACTCAGAGCAGCCAGCCTAGCAATGATCTAACTCACCTCTGCCTTCTCCAATGCTGGCACTGGATTGAGCTCGGGAGAAGAGAGGCAGGAAGGCAGGGAGGCAGACCAGAGACTGCCCTGTGTTCCCTCACCATTTAGGTAGTCCGTAAATAGCCCGGCCATGCACCAAGCCACCATTACCTCTCAGCAACTTCCCTGCTACCTTAGAAAACCTCTTCTTTTGATCCTAGCCACAAGAAGAGCAACTGGGGTCAGACGGGGTCACCTCTGCACCTGACCTTGGCACGAACACATTCTTGTTTCTGGCACGAACAAACTCTCCTCCATCAACTTCTATCCAAGGTGTGCACAGGGGCGCCCACTCCAAAGAAAATCTGTATCTCTAGACACTTAATTTCTATAACACGTCCAAGCAACTCAGAACAAGCTTGTGCACCTGGGTGCCAGGCAGAGGAGCCAGGTGTGGCCAGGTGAGGCGTGCAAGGTTGCAGATGTGAGGGGCACAGCAGAATGATGGTGGGGGTCTGTGCCTTGCACTTACTCCACAGGTGCTTGCTCACTTCCGGCTCCATGTCGGGTAATGGCTAGATACCTGTGATCAGAGGCGCAATACCATCTGGTCTCTGTTTTAATTCACTTGGCAGTCTACCTTTCCCATTTGCTGTGCGCCTGACCTGGTTCTGAGCACATTCACATGAGCACATCTAGTCTCACCAGGGCCTTGTGAGGTCTCAGCCATCTTTAGCCTCAATTCAGAGATGAGGAAACCAAGGCCCGGAGTGGTCACAGAGCTAACAAGGCTGGGGATTTGATTCCCAGAGTCACCTGTAACCAGTTTTCTCTTAAATTGGCATGGGATGGCCTCAGCAGGCTACAAAGATGTATTCAGATCTGTTTCTAAGTTCCTGCTCTACCACTATGTCCTAGCTCTTTAAAATGGACCAACACCCATCTGCAAAATGTCACAATGCTGAAGATAGCTGAGAAATGTACCCCGCCCCTCTGCCCCCAAATGCCAGGCAGGCTTGAGGGACAGGGACCCTGCCCCTGTACGCAGAGCAGACCTGGAGAAGCACCCTTCCTCATTCCTGGGTGAGAGGTGGCTGGCTCTTTCTCCTGGCTCTCCTACAGGGCTGGCATAGTGTATATATATATACTGAAGGCCAAACCAGAGACTTGAGGTACAGGACATCAGGAGAGGATGGAGAGGAGATAAAGAATTTCCACCCCTGAGATCAGACACTCTGAGGGGGTCCTTGGGGACCCGCGGGTCTGGTTTCCTCTGGCTCAACAGAGAGGCCGTGCAGGGTCACACAGCCTGTGGAGGCATAGCCTAGACCAGAGCGTTGGCAAAGAGGAGGAAAAGCCAGTGTCTCCTGTAATATCTGCTCAGTAGGGAAAAGGGGAAAAATAGATCTATTCTTCTGGGGTCAAATTTAGGAAAATATAGCAGCTTTTTACTGCCTCACTGCGGCTCAGAGATCTCAGACCTAACATGTCACCTTTGTTTTTCCCCCTGCAAATGTCTCTTTCTTTGGGACAAACATAGCTTCAAACCATTTGCATCCACACACCTTGGGATCCATAAGAGCTCAGGCCCTGGCTACCCACCTTCAACTCCGATCTTGCCGTCTCCATCCTTGTCCCCTGCGGCAAGCAATGTCTTGGTTTCTTTAGGAGACAGGTCTCTGGCATCCGAGGAGAAACCCTTTAGGATGAATCTGGTGGGAGGAAAGGGAGACAGTGGGGAGGGAGTCAGGTGAAAGGTCACCTTGCCCCCCCCCATGGCATGGGTGTGGCTGGGCCAGCCCCAGGTCACTGGTCTGCCTGGTGGGGGGGGAGGGGGACCAGCTGTCCTCTACAAGTATCTACCACATGTCTCCTGGAGGGTCAGGGGGTCAGGCTGTGTGGCTTCTGGGGGCCTCGTGGCGGTCTTAGGATGCCACCTGGATAAAGGAGAAGTGGGTCAAGGACTCGGGGAGAGCACAGGGCATGCTGGGTAGTATTGGAGGAAATGGAGAGGGTGAGGCAAGAGTCAGGAGGTTCCCTGGAGAAGGTTTTACCTGAAGGACAGAGGTGGCCTGGATGTGTACCTGTGCATGTTGGACATGGATGGGTGGGAGAAGGTTCTAGATAGAGGGGGACCCTGTAGGATGCTTGGGGGGAATGGATACATAGGCTAGATGAGGGAAGTTCTGACTTAAATGGATTCTCCCCAAACCCTTCTTGTCCCTCCTTCCCTCTCTTCCCTCCTTTCTCCCCCCTCTCTGGCCCCCACTCCCTCTCTCTCCCCCCTTTCTCTTTCTCTGACCAAATGCAAAATAGTCTTGGCCACTACGTGACACAAAGCACAGATGTGGGCCAGGTGGGCGGAGGTGAGGGGGATTTGCTGCTGACACAGCTTTGCAATTTTTTTTTTGTTTGTTCAAAGCTTCTCCTGAGTGCTTTGCTCCAAGGACCCTGGACCCCAACATCTGGCTCCCAGTCCCTGGCTTGCCCAGAAATTGCTCTCGCTGGCAACTCTGAGAGTGATGGGGTCTGCTGAAGGGCGAAGGTGCCTTTCAGATGCATGAAAAAAAATCAATAAATGCTAACAAGAATGCCTCCTGCCTGGCCTGCGGCGTGAAGCAGTCCGGACAAATGCTTGTTCATATGTATTCAATTATTAAGTAGCAGCATTCCATTAGCAATATTAAGTGGCTATCATTTAACCTAGTTAGTTGCACTTTGAGCAGAAGGCTTGATTTTTCCGGAAGCAGCGGTGCTAGAAGTGAGCTTCCCCTGGCACCCAGGGGTCGTGGGGGGTCAGATCGGAGCCTGCTTGCTGTGACAGATGGAAGGACATCTCGGATGGGGACAGGAAAAGCCCAAACACCAGCCCTTTCCCTTCCCAGTGCTTCCTCCCTTCACCCCTCAGGCCTCAGTTTACCCCAGCTCATCCTCCTCAATGAAGCCACTCTTGTCTTTGTCCAAGATGTGGAAAACCTTCTTCACCTCGTCTGCACTCTTTTTCTTCAGGCCCACCATCTGGAAGAACTTTTTGTGGTCGAAGGATTCGGCAGCTGGGGGGGGGGGAGGAGGGTGGAAAAGAGGATCAGGTTAAAAAGAGGACAGAGATGGGGGGTAGGGCAGGGTGGGGGTCCCGGCATTGGTTATCCAGCTCCTAAAAGGACAGAGGGAGTCTACCCCAGGCCAGCTGGCTCTGTCAAGGTCACAGGCTGGAGGTCCTCCCCCCACATCGCATCCCTGTTCTCCCCCCGCACCTCTTGTCAATGGTCTGATAGGTTTTGGCTTTCCTAAAACTCCTTTCTACACAGTCCTTTGGGTGGGAGCTGAGCGGAGTGGCCCGGGATGTGGATGGAGGGGGCACACGCAGGCGTGTGACCTGCTAGAGAAGGGACAACCTTCCCAGGAAAGCCACAGTGAGAGGGAAAGGGTTTTATTTTTCTTTTGTCAAGGTCAAAGGAGGAAGATGGGAGGAAGGGCGAACCCAGACGTCCTGGCAGTAAGGCAGAAACCCATCTGTGGATGTGAGTGTGTGTGTGTGAGTGTGTGTGTGTGAGTCTGTATGTGTAGGTGTGTGGGGTGTGTGAGTATGTGTGTGTGAGTCTGTGTAGGTGTGTGGGGTATTAGGTATGTGAGTATGTGTATGTATGTGAGTCTGTATGTATAGGTGTGTGGGGTGTGTGAGGTGTGTGAGTATGTGTATGTGAGTCTGTATGTGTAAGTGTGTGAGGTGTGTGAGTCTGTATGTGTAGGTGTGTGTGTGTATGTGTGCATGAGTCTGTAGGTGTATGTGGGTATGAGGTGTGTGTGGGGAGAGTGTGTATGTGGGGGGAGGGGGCGCCCAGGAGCACCCCCTTTCCCTGGTTTGGTGTGGTGGTGGGTGGGTGGGCACAGCTCCCTGGCCGTCTCCCACAGCTTCCCCAGTGGGAGAGAAGGTGCCCTGGAAAGAGGGAGATGGCCATCTCTGGCTCTCCCTAACTTTCCACATCGGGCGGCTCCTCTTTCGGAGCACCTCAGCCCTGCAGGGCTTTCTACAGGCACCTGGTGGGTGGGTGTGGACGCAAGGCCATTGAAAGGAAGGACCCCTCTCCCTCCCATGGGGCTGAGGGATGGAGCTGGGCAGGTCACCCTGCTCGAATCCCTCTTCTGCTGGGCTAGATGACCTTGGACCAGCCTCCCCTGCTGCCCAGCCTCAGTTTCCCTAACTGGGTGGCAGAATGGGGAAGGCTGACAATTAAGCTAAGGTTCCCAGCAGGGTGGTCTGACAGCCGGGGAGCTCCCCCCCATTTGTCGGCCACCCCCTTAAGGGGACTGGAAGCTTCAGGTGCCCAGGGCTTCACCCAGGTCTGGACAGAGCACCTGCTTAGGGAAGGTCACCACGCCGTCGGGGCACCCCTCCCCAAAGGTGAGGAGATTTGAACCCTAGAGGTCAGGGCGCTGGGGCAGTCTGCCTTCCAGGAAATGTCTTGTCCAGAATAAGGATGGAGAAAAAGAGTGTCGTGGGGAGAAGACACGGCTTAAAGGGAAAGTCCTCCCCACCCCTCCTCCGCTCCCCGCACCCAGAACCCCGGCGGAGGTCCCTCCTCGGACCCGAGTCCTCCCAGCGCGGCCACCGTTCCAGAGCCCACAACTTTGTGCAGCATCAGCCAGGGCACCCGCCTTCCCCATCGCACCCTGAAAAGCTGAGGACCATCGGGGCCCCATCCAGGCAAGGGTGGGGTAGGGGAAACGATGCGGGATGCGGGAGCGGAGAGGGGTCGGCTGGGGCGGGCTGCAGGGGGGCGAAGGTGGCAGCGGGGCGAGGGCAGGGGGCCGGGAGGGGGGGCGCTGCTCACCGGCAAAGGCTCCTATCGCCTTCTTGATGTCCTCAGCGCTGAGCAAGTCTGTCATCGACATCCTGCAACTGTTTGAGCGGGCAGAGCAAGTGCGAAAAGATTAAAAAGTGCTCTTCTCATCATTTCTGCTCATATGACCAGCGCTGCAGTGGCGCGCGCCAGGCGCACGCACCGCCCGGCCTGGCACTGCGCCAGGGGCGCCGGGCTCAGCGCTGGGCTGGGCTCCACGGGCTGCGGGGGCAGCTGAGGGGTCCACGGCACCCCAGGAGGCGGGGGGAGGGGGGGACTGTCGCCAAAGTGCCAGCTCGGGAATTGAAGGGGTTTCCCCTGCCACCAGCCGGGACTGGAGAGATCGCTGGCCCCTCAAGGGCAAGCAGGAGGTTTGGGGCATCTCTGATCTGGGTGTGGGGAGTGATGCACCCCCCAGTGGGACCCAGGCCTGAAGGGGCCAGTCTGTCCTCCCCGGGGGGCCTGTCTGTACCCCTAGGGGAAGGGGGGGAGGCTCTGGCCTTTACCCATTCCCGCTCCATGTCTCCCTTAGTCTCTTCTCTCCTGGGCTCCGTATGCCAAGTTATGCTGCAAAAATCTGCCTGCTGAATTGTGTGTGTGCGTGTAATCTGAAACCTCACCCTCCAGAGGTGCAAGCCTGGACAGGGACAGATGGCGAGGCTCCTCAGCTCCACTCCTTTTTCTCCAGGTCCCCCAAATCTGGGGTCCCCCACTCCCCTTGGCTATGAGGACCTCTCCAAGGAGAGGCCCAGGTGGAGGACACTGCTGAGGGTGGTGTTTAAGCACCACCTCCCAGGAGGCCGGTGGGACTTGGGGTGGGGGTGGGGGAAGGGAAGGGTAGCACCTTTCGATCACACTTTCTAGGATCTAAGTAGGCTCTGTAGCCTGGGCTCCACCACTGGGGAAAGTGATGCTGGCTAATTTTCATGCAGTCAGCTACTCTGGCTGTGACCCGCGGAGCACTGTATGGGGAGTCTGGGGATCTGGGCTCTGGAGGTGGGTGCGGAGTGCTAAGTCTCTCCATGGTGACCTTGGGCAGTGACCTTCTTCATAGCCAAGGCTTTTGTCCCCCTGTGTTGTGGTTGGTGTGAGGGTGGTCTCCTGCCCAGGACCACAAGACTAACTTAAGGTCCAGGAAGGTGGGCAGCGGTTGGGGCTGTGGTAGGGGACCAGGGACAGCTGCCCAGCTGTCAGGAGCTCAGGTTCCCTGACACTCGCTGTCAGCACAGACTCCCTGGCTGGGCCCTGGACGGCTGCCCTTCCTGGAAACCTTAGGAGTGGCTGGCTCCAGCTGCCCGCTCCGGTGAGTCACCTCCTTCAAGGCCATCCCCTGCCAGCTGGCTTCCAATACGCCGAGGCTGCAGCTCCTAACCTGCTATCTGCGGCCATGAAGCCCCCCCAGAGCCCCCAGCCGCCCGTGCAGCCCCTTCTGTGGCCACTGCCACCTCCGCTCGGGCGTGCTGCGAATTCAAGTCCCGGGGCTCTGCTGGCTCTCAGGCCTAGTTGGAGCAGATATCTCTTCACCCTGGGGACCCTGTGTACTACAGATGGGGAAACAGAGGCTGAGAGGGTCCATGAGGACCCCCAGGACATGCCAGCTGGGCATCCTCCCAGGGTCCTCCAATGTTAGGGCTCAGTGACCCACTAATGCCCCTTCCTGATACCCGGGGCCCATGTATCTGAGCCACTGCCCCCCCCACCATCCCTCCCCTTTCTCCATCTCCCTCCCTGCTGCTGAGGACCCCGTGGGAAGGCAGGGCATCAGACATTAGCCTCTCTGGACCAGTGCAGCAGCCCCTTCCTTCTGCCCTTCTGAGTTCTGGATTCCCTCTGTGGGCCCACGTGTGCGTGGCCCCGCCCTCTGGGTCCTAGAGGGAGAGGGATGGATCCGGGTCACCCAGGAGCCAGGTGGAAGAGCTGGGAGTTCATTCCCTCAGGCCCTGGGCTTCCCTGCTGTCCAGCCCTGGTCCCCTGGGAAGGAGGGATGCGCTGTCCCTTCCAGCCGGCTCCCTCCCTCTGCATCCCCAGCATCGGCCTCCACGCTGGGAAGCTGCCACTCACCTCGGACGGGGCAGAGGCCGGAGCCTGTACACGGAAGTTGGGTTAGTGGGGGATCCTGTGGGAAAATGAGTCTGGTGGCAGGGTGGCCACTTAAATAGTCTTGGGACCTGGCTATTTTGGGAGGTGGCGTCTCCCCCCCTCCAGTCCCCGCCCCCTCCCCTTCCGGTGTCAGGTAGTCCCCAACCCTGGGGCTGCGCTTCTGTATCACATTCACCCCCCCAGGCCCATTGGGCCAAGCCTATTAATAACCCTTGGCCCCTGCCTTCCTCCAGCACCCAACATGGAGGCCCAGGCGGGACCTGCGTCTTCCAGGAAGCCTTCCATCCCCAAATAATGTAGCCACAGGGTTTCCTTCCTCCAGAGCTGGCTAGGAAAGGAAGAGAGAGAGGCAAGGGGGAGCAATGGAATAAAAACTGCCCTGTGTGAAAGGCTGGGCTGGATTCGCACGCGTGCACGGTCACATTGTCACAGCATGGGGTGATGGTTCTTGCCCGGAGAGGAGAACAGATGTGGCTGTGGGTGCGAAGGCTCTGCTGCACACAGCTGGGCATGGGAAATGGAGACTGCAGTGGATTCTTCTATTCTCTGTGCGTCCCCAGCTCCTCCCGCTCTATGCCGCAGCCTCCCAGCTAGAAAATGCACAGCAGATGAGCTCAAGGGCGCAGTTGGGGCCCTGTCATCACAGCAGAATGCCCCTTGTACACAGCATGAGTTGAAAGGCGTCTCTGATTGTCTCAGTCCCGGACCGGAGATGGGGGTCTAGAGCAGGGTTTGAGCAGCATGAACGAGTTCAAGTGGTTGAGTATCTAGCAGGCACGATGCTCAACTTTCCTCTCCCCATTCCTAACCCTCGCGCGGATCTCCAGGGCACTGAGATGCTGGACCATGGAGTCCAGTTGGTGGGAGGGGCTGAGGAGGCTGGGCCTCCATGTGGGAGGCTGTGAGGGCTGAGGCTCCTTCGCTGACCAGTGGCTTCATGGCTGGGAAAAGCGCATGGAGAACTGGAAGAGGAAGCTGGGGCTGGAGCTGCACTGGGGAGCTGGGAGGATGGATCCCCAGAGGCAGTAGCTCCTGCTCTCAGGTACAGGACAGGAGACTGACTCCTAGGAATTCGGGGTGGGGGCCCCCACTAATGATCAGCCACAGCCTACCACAACCCACAGACCTAGCATCAAAGTGGCTGACTCAGATCCCAGGGTTGTGTGCTGGGGTTCGGGGTACCTGGGAGTGAGGCCAGGGCTGGTCCCGAAGTTCCAGGTAGAGTGGGAATTTGCCCCAGGCCTGGCTGAGCTAGGGGCAGGGGGAGCCCAGCATTGCTGAGGACCAGCCAGGTCTGGGGCTCTGTTTGTGGAGCACTGTCCCCGAGAGCAGATCCAGCCTCACACTTCCATCCCTTATCCTCTCAAGAGGTTGGTCAGATCCTTTGCCCGCTTCACCTACGAGAAAGAATTAGGCTCAGAATGGTTAGACTACTGGCACAAGGTCATACAGCAGAGGCATGCTTTTAACTCAAGTCTCTTTGACACCGAAGAGTATTCTCCTTTCTGCCACACCGCCTGGCTTCTTGAAGAAGAACCAGGCGAAGACTGGGGGCCGCAGCATCCGGAGAGAGTCCTTCCTCTGGCTTCTTCGGGGACTTGTATTCAAGCAGCTCTGGGTGGGCTGTACCATGTGGGGAGGGTGCACTTTATGACATGATTTCACTTTGCCCTTGCAGGACTCTCAGAGGTTTGAAGAAATACAATCTCAGAGTCGCACAGCTCAGAAAAGCATGCGCAGAGCTGGGATTTGAAATCAAGCGTCCAGTTCTGAGGCAGCATCTTTTTTCCCATTTGAGGAAAGTCAAGGATGTCCTAAAGCCTGGGGAGAATTTCCTGCAACATTTGCTCTGCAGCTTTGCTAATTCAAGCCGCCTTTGCCTTCCTAGCCTACTTGATTTCTACAAGGGCCTCCATGCCAGAAAATGAGTTTTCAGTCAAGCCTATTTTTGACTAGCACGCATCAGGCCCTGGTTTCCATGCCTAGTCCTGAGGAGTCAGGGGGAGGTCAGGGGAGATTTGACCTGTGCAACTGAAACACCCTGCAGGGTTTCAGGTATGGCTTGATCCAGAGCCCTAATTCTATCCTAAGGATCTCTCTCTCTCTCTCTCTTCCCCCAGGTAAGTCCTGTGGGGATGGAGGCTACCTTCTGAGAAGAGCCATCCATCCCCCGATGGATGTCATAGAGGGCTGCGCCCTGCTGGGCTGTGAGCCCCAGGGGCCCTTCTTGTAGAGAATAGGGCTTCCCCGCCTTGCTGCTTGCTGAGAAGGCTCAGGGCCAGATCTGCTGGCTGTGAGCATCTGGCTGCTCACCCGTTCTGTCGCTCACCCCTGAGCGGGGGCTAGGCAGGGACAGGGAGCTGGGGGCTGGGAACCCTGCAGGCCTCGGCCTTTCATGAGGAAGGCACAGAACAGTCTGGCAGGTGGGTCTGGAAGCAGCCCACTCAGTCGAGTCTTGGGGGACCCAGGTACCAGGCACAGGGAGGTGGGCAAGCCCAGATGAACTTTAAGGCAGGGTGCATGGAACTCACTTTTCTGAATGTGAGGTCCCCAGCGCGGCCCCCCTCCCCCCCTCCTGCCCCTCAGGACGGCTGACAGGCAGTCAGAGTGCAGTGGAACTTTCTTCTAGTTTCAGGGTTCCTTGTTCTGATAGAGATGAGATCCTGGGGACTTGGTGGAAATTGTCACCCCACACCGAGCCGTCCCTTGGCTCCTCATATTGGCTCACAGCCTCGGATGGACATGTTATGTAGGCTCCAGTCATGTGCATATATGTTACTGAAATGGACCTCATTGTCTAATTGATTTTCACCAGTAGACAAAACTGAAGTTCAGAGAAGTCCAGTCACTCCTCCAAGGTCACACAGCACCCTGGGACCAGAGCCTAGTCTGTCTATCTGCCTCTGCCCTGGTCCAAAGCCGGTGGAGGGAGGGAAGGCAGTGTGTGCGGATCAGCAGTGTCCCCGCTGCTGCCGCTGCTGCCTGCCAGCAGACGGTCTGTGGCTTCACTGGTGCGATTTCGTTAGTTCACACTATTTCCACCTGCTGTGGCTGGGAACAGGATACAGTACCTCACGTCCAGGGTCTGGCGGGCAGGGGCCGCTGCAGGATCTAATGATATTTATGAGGTCAGTCCTGCGGGGTGACGTGTATTAACTCGAAAGAATCTTGGCTGCACCTTGTGCCCTCTCGTCCCCTCTTCCCCCTCCCGCAGATTGAAGCACAGTTTCTCCACGGAGAGAGCTTGGGGGGGAGGCTTGGGGTGGAGAGCAGACCCCCCTGGCTCTGCTCACTCAACCCCTCGGGGCCTGGAGCCCGGTATCTTGCCTCTTGGGGCCTCAGGATCCTTAGCGATGAAAGGGAGCAGGAGGAGAAGCCGGAGGGGTGACAGGAGGGGAGGTCAGTTGTATTTATTTATTAACACGTGTGTAGTTATTATAAAGGTGAGGTCTGGAGGGATTGCAGTTACAAACGTCAGGTCAAGGAGACATTTCTTTTTGGACAATGTCCCCCCACGCCCTCCCTCGCTCTCTCCCCGTGTCTCCCTCCCACCTCCACCCACAAGTTCATTTTCCACAGCGTGTCCCGTGAGGACCACTGCTGCGTTTGTTCACCCCCTGTCCCTCCATTTCTGTGCTCCCCCTTACCCTCCCAAAGACAGATAAACGAACAAGACAAAAAGAAAACCCAATTCGCAGAAAAGAGACAAAAAAAACCCTCCAGCTTCCATTTCCTGGAGATCATTTCGATAAATCTTCTTTCATATGATCAGAGGCATGCAGGCATGGCGCCTTTGTGCTCCTCTCCTGAGAGTGTCCTCCTTTGGGCTCACTGTGTGTGAATGTCTACAGTCCTGTTTTACTGATCCAGTTTCCGCCTTGGAGAGGAGACACGCACCGTTGGTGTCTCCCAGCTTGGCTTCCCTGGTTTAACACGATCTGGTGGAGGGCGGTGGTTCTGAGAGGGGCCCCCAGTCTGCGCAGTCCTAACGCAGATGCCAGGCAATTGTCACTGAGGGGACGTTGCCCTTGACTCTGTCCTGCCACTGAAGGAGGAGACGCAAGAACCAGGGACCACTGGCGCCTGCCTCATCTGGCCATTCCAGGGGTCTCTGAGCCCAGGGGGGAAGTGAGGAACCAGCCACTGGGGAGGCTGGAGACTGAGAGCTGGATAGAGCTGGGCTGGGGGCTGGGCGCCATTGTGGTCTGGAAGGGGCTGGGGCTCAGGGAAGGAAGACAAGATGTGGTCATGGAAGGGAGACAAGATGGAACTGAGAGAGCCCCGGTGGTGGTGAGGGCCCTGTCCGCCAGGGGTTCCTGGAGGAGGGGACCAGGGCTGGAGAAGGGATGGACAGCTGGCCTGGGAGGGCATGGTGGGGCCCGGCAGGCCTGGGTCTTGCTCAGGGGGGTGGACAAGGCCCCAGGAGATGCAGGGAGGAGGCAAATGCAGCCCAGGGGACCGTGAGCCCTCCGGTGCCCAGGCACTGGCTGGCAGCAGGGAGCAGAGGATGCCATGCCGGGCTTTACTCAGAGGGATGGAGGTGTCCTTCTTCACCCCAGCCCCTCTCTACCCTATAGTCAGACTTGAGGAGACCATGGAGGTGTGTGTGTGTGTGTGTGTGTGTGTGTGTGTGGTACATGTGTGTATGTGCATGCATGCATGCATGTGCTAGGGGGAGGGAAGGGTCTCCATGTATCTCTTGGGGATGGATGGCCAGCCATACTCTCAGTTGGTTTTCTGATGATCAGTGCCCGCCCAGCTCGTGCATGGTTGGGCACAGTTGGGGGATGCCAGCATCTAGCATCCGTGCATGAATATGGGCAGTGTGGGTGCTGTGACCCCCATAGCAAAGTGGGAGACACTTGTCTCTCATCGTGATCTGTGCCCCAGGATTATGGGTCTTCCTTCCTCCCTCCCTCCCTGTCTGCCTTCCTTCCTGCCTCTCTCCCTCCCTTCTTTCTTTTCTCCCTCCCTCCTTCCTTCCTCCCTCTCTCCTTCCTTCCCT